TTAAAAAAAAAAAAAAAAAAAAAAAAACAACTTTAAAAAAGTGAACACAGTCTGTTTCCAGGTTTGGGTCTTCACATTGGTGACACATGGAGGAACCTACAAGCCCTCGCATTCATCCCAGGTGCTGCTTGGGCTACACTATATCACAGCACTAGCCATTTGTCAGCAGCCCCGACCAGAAGGACAATCTCCACACATGACAGAAAGCAGAGGGCTATCGAGGCTGGATCACTAAATATATTCAAGGCTGAGATAAAAATCTGTCGGTCTATCTCAATAGCAGAAATCAAGGTTTAATGGAGAAAAGGCAGGATAGTGGAGTTGAGGATTATTGCATCAGCTGTGATCTCACCGAATGGCAGAGCAGACTCAAACGGCTTTTTTACGTTCCTATCTCTTAGGTGAGTCATTGGTTGGCAGCTGGAAGCAAGAACAGTAGCCGATTTTCTTTCCCCGTGCTAACTCTGTGGCCCTACTGTGTTTATGTTCCAGCTAAAACTGCTGAGGCATCAGGGAAAACACTTGACATCAGTGGGCACCAGAGCAGGGTAGGAGAGGATAAAAACTCAAAGTACTAGGATTTTTGACATTGCAAGTTATCAGTTAACTACAGCTGCTGGAGGTTTATTTGACTGATAGCTGGGATTGGATGATTATCTTTTGAGGAAAGGTTTGACAGGGTGGGTCTGTATCCAAAGCAGTATAGAGGACCGAGAGGCGATCTTATGGAAATATATAAAAGATCCTGAGGACGCTAGATAGGAGGGTACCTGCAAGGATATTTCCCTTTGAGAAAGGGACAAGAACTAGGGGAGCAAGTTTAAATATTTAAAAAAAAAAGAGGAGATCTCCTCAGTAGGATGGTGGAGAAGAAACCTATTCCTTCTACATCCCATGTAAAAAAAGCCATTTTCTTCAAAATCATGAGAAAATCTTGCAATGAAATAGTGTGTCAAGTTCCCGAGGCCCAAAGTTGTCCAATGCAAAGCACGAAGCAGCTGCAATTCTCAGGCTTACCTTTAACTTCCTTCTCGACTAGAGGCTCGCAGGATCTAAAGAGCAAAAGAAAAAGAAAATGAGATTGGTGCATTAAATTCAAGGAAGCATATCAAAATTAGCATCTATGGTTGTGGTGTGCTCAACCATTGATAGCTCTCATTATGAAAGGCTTGTTTCCATGCTGTAGGACTCGATGTCATAGTTTTGTACAATAGGGAAGGGAATAAACAATTCAATGGACACAATGAGAAATGCATCATTCTGTATAAAACAGGCTCAAACTGCCTGTGCAACCAGAACATTGTCAAACCATCCTGGCCTAGGTCTTGGGTACATTCTTTCCACCTGGCAGCAAGCACTATACATGCTATCATGTATTTTCCCCCCCGCCCCCCGACACAATTATGTAATTATTTTGAGTTTGCTACATAGGACTAGACCAGAGCTATGACAAAAATCGCAAGTCAGCCACCCTCTGTATTCATGCAAGCTTAAAAAAAAACTATCCAAGCTGGAATGCTGGGTCAGAATTCCCACTATTTGAATTATCTCTGACCTTCTCACAAGACTCTCATCTCAAGTCACAAGGGAGCATGTCGATGTGGTTACTGATATGGGCAGGCACAGGGACAAAAACAAAATAAAGTCGCAGTGTGGGTTCAACTACCCCCAAAGCTATGCAGCAAGAAAGAGAGGCCGGAAAACTCAGGCAGAGCATGTCAAACTGAAATTGGAGCTACTTTGACCTGCTGGTTCGAGCAAACGTCTTGGCCCTAAACAATTCAAACTATTCTGCTGCTCAGGGACTGCAACTATACAGTTTCACCCTACAACTCAGACTTTTCTAATTCAAATTAGCACTTGCCCAAAACAACATAGTCAGACTTAAAATATCCTTACTCCTTTCAAATCTTATTTTGTCACATTTGTTGGATTTTAAGATTGTGGAGTTTTCTCCCTCAGGATCAGTATTTCACGCCTTAGGCATATTCCTCACTCAGGAGTGGGTCATAACTTGTCAATAGATAGGTGAATGTAACAAGCCCAGGAGTCAAACTGAAAGACTTTGTTAGTACATTTCAGCTGCTGGTTATATCACGTGGACACCCTCAACTTGAACAGTACGAAGCAAAAAAGTGGTTTTCAAAATTCAACTGGAAAATTTGAGAAAGTAAATGCAATTGCTCAAAAGAGAAATTGACACACACACACACACACACACACACACACACACACACACACACACACACACACACACACACACACACTGTTTACATTCAAATTGTTTAGTTGGCTTCCTCACTCTGGTCCACGTCCAAGCTCAGCATCTGTATTGCTATATTTACACAACTGTTGTCATTTGCTGAGTGAATTGGATTCATTAACAGCGTATGCACCATGTCAGAAAATTGACTTGACACATTATGGAGAAAAACGTACAATTTCCCTCACAATTTTGCCCCACTCTGGAGGTTGGGCCATGTAGCCAGGCTTAATCAATGAGACCTGATTACCCAGTTACTCAGATCCAGCCAAGCATGTGCACCAATTCGTACAACTTCTGCACGCAAGTGTCAATTAAAGTCTTCCTGATGACAGGAAAGCTATTTTAAATTTTCTGATGACAGAAACTTCAAATAGCTGAGTATAAACACATGAAACATAAGTGACTTAGCTTCAGAGATCAAAGGAATGTGTCATGAACCAGTGCACCAAGGAAACATGAGGTAGTGTTTATTTTCACCCTATCTCAGTACATGAACTTGGAAATGAGCTGATTAAAAAAGTAGGAGTTGGAGAACATCCATCACTGGGTAGCATGGTGGCTCAGTGGTTAGCACTGCTGTCTCACAACACCAGGGACCTGGGTTCAATTCTACCTGGTGAATGATCTTCAAATGGTCAGAGTGGATTCAGTGGGCTGAATGGCCTGTTTCCACACTGTAAGGGATTGTATGATTTTCCATCACACACATTTTGTAACAAAGGGTCTGACTCTTTCTAGAAAAGCTCCAATTATTAATTTCATATATCCTCAAAATCAGCTCAACACACTAAGCACCACAGATTCTGCCTTTAGCTACTTGCTATGGCGTATGAAAATTAAGTGTTGAAACATGTATTAGAAGCGACAGCCAACTCTCTGTATTCACTAATTTAAAAAGCCACCATAAAAATCCGAAGCTTGAACAGTACCATTAAGTGATCTCTCAGACCCATTACTACATCTGGCATTGTACCAAACAAGCCTCCTGACAACCATCAGTACCACACTCCATGCCAGCCAATCCAACCATCAACCTCCCTACAATCATGCAGCCTGATGTTAAAAATGGCTGTGTGTTCCAAACCACAAGCCCTCAAGGATCTAAGTATAAACCCACTTACGCAGCCAGAAAGCTGAAATGGAGCTCATTTGATGCAGCGTCTAAACTGGTCAAAGATGACACTTGTGGAGCAATTGTAATGTCATATTGCTGTCAGAAGACCTGGGTTCAAGTATCCTCCTTCTGCAGAAGGATGTTATAACACTTTTAAATCAACCTGTTCAAATGTATCTAAAAACTGTTAATTAATTAGACTAGTAGTTCCCAACAAGTGCCATGTGTCGCTATGTAGATTAAACTCATTGCACAACATGACGCAGTTAGTGGTGTCCATCCCTTGCACTACATTCAAGCTGCAGGAAGGTTGCTTGGATCAAAATGGTTTTACAGGCAAATCAATTAAAAACTCAAATTTGGAGTAAGCACAAGAGTAAAATTGGCAATTATCCCTGGGCTGCTTCAGGAAGTATCCTGTTGGTGACAGGTAGGACACAAGAACATCGATGTATCTAGCAATATGCCTTATACAAATCCTGCACACATACACTCATATTTGAGGCTACGAGAATGATGTATGTGTACTGAGAGAAGGGCAAAAATCAAGAGTGCATTGGGCTGGTGAATGAGTGTACATGACAGCAAGCATGTGTGTGTGCTGCATGCACGTTTGAGAGAGAGCGAGAGAGAGAGCGCGAGCGAGAGTTGGAGGAATGGATGGTGCAATTCAGGGAATGAAGGAGAAATCAGATACCATATTTTTAAGAAAAAAAAACAGGTTCTCTAGCCCAAGCTAGAGAATCCAATTCAATCATTTTAGTGTATAATTCTTTTTGTGCTCACCATCTGCCTTAGAGGCAAGGTGAATTCAAAATTTATTTGGTTTTGATGCAGAAAGATAAAGCAAAAGGAGCATTTTCCAAAACATATTCAATCAGCAATCACAAGTGCCCTATGGTCACACACAGCCACCGAAGGCAAATGGAAATTTTCTACTTGGAGCCAAGCCACAGATTGTGCAGTCACATATTTGGCACGACTGAATAATTTCTCCTCTTCAGCATCACCTCCCCTCCACATACGCATCTCCATCCAGCTAACCAACGAGAACAGTCCCACCCCCAACATACTTGTAATATCACGTAAGGTCACGCAACTGAGTTGGGGGCTTTGCACATCTCAATTAAGAATTATTTTTAAAGTAAACAAAACAGGATTGCCCTCCCCACCTCCCCTCAGCTCTTAATATTTCACAGACAGTGTTGATATGTTTCACTGAAAGACATTTCATTGCTTGGGCTGTTTGAGTACGTGATATTGCACTCTTACAGAATCACAAAAATCAAGCAGCCCTACCAGGAGCTGAAACACTGTCTATAACAGGCACAGACAAGGAATCTGAATCAGAATGGTTCCCCATTTCTGTCCTGTTGGTGGGCAAGATTCCCCAAACAGGGGGCAGGAGACGTGCACCTGCTTCATGGAAGCAGATGACTAATTTGCATCATTAAACACCTAATTACAACCTAATTATCTAATTACATTAGATCTTGCTAATGGCACGTCAGCTGCAACTTCATGGAGGCAGCCTTCCTCCTAAGATAGGGGAAGACAAATTTCCCATTGATTCCCAGACAGGAGCCTGTCATACAATCAACAGGGTTTTAACTGCGATGGACCTCTCCAAAGGTGCCTCCCATTGTGGGATAGACAGCGGCACAGTGGCAAAGTCCCAACACTAGCAATCTACAGCCTCAGCCTAATGCTGAGAACATGGCTTCAAATCTCAGTTGGACAGATAGTAAAATTTGAACTCAACATATAAACTTGAATTGGAAAGCTGACCACGTCACTCTGGTGTAATCCAATCTGGTTCACTACCTTGTTTGAGGGGAGGAAGTCTGCTGTCCTTAGCTGGTGTCTCCAGAACCACAGCAACATGACTGACCGTGAGAATGGTTTAACTACCCACTTAGTGGTGTCAAACTGTTAAATAAAAAAACTAAAAGAAAGAGGGTAAAACAGCCAGCATCAACCTAGGCACCAGAAATGACAAAAGCACATCAAGTCTGTTCAATACTGAAAGTCCTGCCTACCAACATCTGGTGGCTTGTGACAAACTTGGAAGAGCTGTCCCATAGCCTCATTACACAATAGCCTAACAGTCACACATGCTGAGGCTAACCTCACTGTCCCAGCACCACACCATCATCCCAAGATATCATCCACCAGAAATGGCAGTAGGAATGTATACACAGTCAGCGGGGTGTGCCCCTGGGAGCATTCAATATTGATTCGGGACCCCATTATGTCTCATGGCATCAGGTCAAAAAACTGTATATGGACCCCTGCTATTGATTCCAGCTTCTGTTGTAGTATTGGGTCTACACTCTGGGTGAGAGAACATTGACACGTTTTATTGAACATATCTATTGACAAGGTATAGAAGAGCAGACATCTTCTGGAACACTGCGGACTCTGGCTTCAGTTCCATGATCCAGCATCACTGTGGCATGGCTCGAGTTCCACATATTCAGCAGCTAATCTCCGAGTAAAGGTTTTTAATTTATTCAGTCCTGGGATGGGGGCATCGCTGGCAGGGTGAGAATTTAATGCCAGTCTTTAGCTGCTCTTGAGAAAAAAGGTACAATTTACTCTAATCTACACTGGCTACCAGTCACGATGAAACAAAATTTATGGATTATTCATCTTGGACTGAAAGCAATTAA